AAAGTTTTATAAATATTGCTAAAAAATAATGATTGCTGGTAACACATGCAAGCATACATATTTTTAATTGTGTGTATGTATGTATCAAAAAGTAATATAAAGAAAAATTTAAATTTGAGGAAAATGTGGAATTGACCGATCAAATTTTCATGGTCAATCAACTGGAAATTTTTAAATTTTAGTTTTTGATTCTTTAGTGTTGTATGCAAAAAAATATTTTTTGCAATTTTAGACGAATGCAATTAAAATTAGAAAATTTGAAATTTTTTTACTTTTTATTTTATTTAAGTTTTAATTTTTCTAAAAATAAATTAAAATATTTTTAAATTTTATGGGAAATTTAAATTTAATAAAATTTTTTGTATTTTAGTTTTGTATTTTTGATTAAATTCAAGCAGTTCGTTTATTAAGAAGGAAATGATGTTTTCGAGGCTGGGGAAAAATAAAATTTTGGCATTAAAATAATTATTATAAAATTATTAATATCGGAATCCTTTTGAATTTCAAATTACAGCAACAAAAATTATAAACAAAATAATAACAGTAATTATAAGGAAACATTTTGTTAGACATCTTTTCAAAACTACTTCGGAATTGGCAGTGAAAAATTATGATCATACATACTAAATTTATTGGTATAATTAAATTAATTAGAATGTTTTAAAGGAATGTTGCTCTTTTGATCTTTCGCAGATCTTCGTATTTCGAATGAGTTTTGTTTGGATCAAAACATACTCACCATAATATATATTCAACACTTTATTAATTAAGGTTAAGAAACCAGTCCAAATAAATTGTGAATACGAGAATATAATTTTAAAATACCTTGCAAATTTATTCAGCTCTCAAAATTTTAATCAAGCTATTTTAATAACTAGAATGTCGTGCAATTATTCCCAATATTAGTTTAATTAACCTGTTCTCATTTTAATATACATAATTAAAATCTTGCCGATAAATCAAAAATAGAACACAAATAATATTTTTTGTTGTTATGCAGTTATTCAGAATTGTTGGGTTTATTCTATGATCTAAAAAATTTAATTAAAAAAAAATTTCTATATAGAATTAGAAGAAATTCATTTTTTAATGTCTTTCCTTTGTGTTTTTATTATATCTGTTATATATAGAGTGTGCAAGATTGTACTAAATAAATACGAGTATATTATTGAAACAGCAAGCTATATATTATTAACATATTGTGTAAACAAAATTTTACCAGTTTCCATGTTTTGTTTTTAATTCATGATCCGCCTAGCTACCTCATACTTAAGTAAAAAATTGTTTAGTGTGTAATTACTTCAATTCTGTAAAACAAAAAAAAAAAACAAGGGTCAAATGTAAGTGTCTCAACTTGTGGTTTTTTCATCTGGGGGTGAAACTTATTATGATGCTTCCGACACAATCAGTTAATTTTTTTTTTTAATAACAACAGTAATCGAAAATCGTATAAACATTTTCAAAGAATTAAAGAGAATGGAAAAAATTATTTTTTTTTTTATTCATTCTAACCTTCCCACGCATGATTTTCCAAATTGGCATGCAGTCAAATAAATTTAAATGAAAATGATAGAAAAAAGAAAAGGTCTTGATGAAATTAAAAATAAATATAAATTTTAGTTTCTTAATTTTATTAAAAAAAATGTAAAGAAAATGTAAATTTTCCTTTTTGTTTATATAAATAAATAATGTTACACATAATTTATTAGAAATTTTCAGAAACTCTTTTATATGTGTACATACATTATATTTTAATTAATTGTTATGTAGCTTATATAGGTATGTGTAGAGTGAATTAATATATAAAGAAAATTTTGAAAAATTCGCTAAGATTATAATTCATAATTTGGCGCCGTGACCATTCGAATAATCAATTTATATAGTGATTATTTACCTCTATATACTTTTACCTCTAATATTGTGGTTAAACGTTTATAACTTTTAAATTTTTTTTTTAATTTTATCGTAAAAATTTATGTTAGACCACCCATGATTTAAATTTAGTAAACACATTGAAAGAATAAAAAACATTTTTATTAAAATTATAAATTTTCCCAACTTGCTAAAATATGAGATATTTGTGTTTTGCAACGAAAGCTTTGAAATTTTTCATAATTCCTTGTATAATTTTATCTTTATTTCCACTATCAAAAAATCATTTATTCTGATAATTATCATAAAAATGTTTAGCCAATTAACGTTGTCAACAAAAACATTTCTAATTTACTTATTCTCATAAATTTTCGTGTGCTATTTAAAAATTATTCAAATTTATTATAAAAAATTAAGGAGTAAAAAGTTTGAAAAAATTATGAAAATTTTATTTGAATTTTGAACTATTTTGGACAACAAATGCTGCATGTAGCAAGACAGACAATATTTTATGAATCGTAATTCTGACTTTCCTTCTTAAGGCTTAATGGACTTGCCAGCCTCTTCTATGCTGCTTATACCTGAACGATCTAAGGTCCATGACAGTACAGTTTTATTTTTTCTTCCCAATTCAACTTGTGTAAACAAGAAACCTAATGTCTCCAGACTAACTATCCGAGAATATGATTACAGTTTTATTCTTTCAACCAACCTTTTAAAGTATTGTCTTCTTCCAATACCATCATGGTGGACTCTTGTACCGCCCACTTTTAGTTCGTTTTAGCCTTTACATTTTACCTGGAAAAAATGACTACTTTTTTAAATCATTTAAAAATAATAAAGTATTTTTAAGTATATATAAAAAAACATTTATTTACCCTTTAAAACAAACATGAATAAGCTGTGAAATTCAAACACGCCAGACACCATTTTGTTTGGCAGTTATATACAGTTATATACAGTTATCAAAGCTTAACTTTTAGTTTCCGTTTTCTTATTTCCGATATCTCCCGAATGTAACGCATCTCATATTAGTTTTGCCATTTTTTTAAGTCATTCTATTACTCTGCATCGGAATGTCATCTACTCCTGAACACTCTGCATTCATAACATTTTACAGATATTTTTATAAGAAAACAGAATTTTCAACAAAAATTTGTTTTTACTTAATTTTATACAAAAAATATTGTCACGCATAATGTAATGAAGTTCAAGTTGTATAAGTTTAAGTGCGAGCATAATTAACATCGGATATAGAAATCTATATTTAAAAATACAATTGTTATTTGGCATGTTTTCAATAATTTTTATATTTTATAGTCATAAAAGAACTATAAAGAACTATACGATATGAAATAATCGTAAAAATTGTACATAACAAATTTTAATCCGATCATTAGAGAAATTCCTTTTTAAATGTAGCATATTGTTTTTTTCCACCTCTTCTTATAAAATAAAAATCTTTATGTAAAAAAAATTCAAATAATTGCTATAATTGAGCAGGTCTGTTCATTGATTTTTCACTTTTATTTTGTAGTGCGCTCTCATCTTCTGCAAATTTTCTTCTTGTAGCTTTCAAATTAAAAATCTCAATTTTGTAGCTTCCAAAATAAAAATATATTGCAGCCTCAACAAATTAAAAACAATTTTTTTAATTGAAATATTTTTTTTTATTATGAATAATTTAAAAATAAGTTTTTTTTGCAGAAAAACTAAATTATTTTTTTTGATTAGATTAAATTTTTTGATTTTGGTCGATGAGAGAAAATTAAATAATCTGTTATATAAGTTATACTCGTAACTGAGTACAAAAATTTCACATTATTGCTAAATTTTTACAATAGTCGAAATCTGTTACAATTGCTTATTTAAGAGCAAGAAAAAAAAATGAACAATCCAAAAACAATTATGTGTCTCATTTTTTTTTGACCTTGAGAGAACCATGATTTTTTATTAGTAAATAAAATTTTGAATGTATTGCGTTGCGATTTTAATAATAACATATTTATATTTTTACTTGTAGAATAAAGAAGAAAACAAGTGAAAACGTTTTTTGTCGATCTAAACCGATCGAATTATACCCTGCACCTCTCATTGTTGTATAAGAATTACTCGAACCTGTGAAACCGTTCTATAGAAACTTAACGGATATATCTGACCTAAAATTGGACACACGACTGCCAACTTTCATGAATCTGACTTTATTATTTTTTCGAATATAAAAAATTTGCTTTTGGAGTTGTATGACAACCATCTGAACCAGTGCCCCTATCCCATTAAATTTTTTAGAGCATATGTAGAATGTAATTGGACACACGTATACAAAATTTCATATTTATACCTTTATTACTGTTTGAAATATTTAAAATAAACTCTTTGAATTGTATGGCAGCTACCCGAACCCGTTGTCCGAATTGGTCCAATTACAATAGAGTTCGTCCTTGGCACAAAAGAATCAACTTGTGAAAATTTGGTGTCGATTGCATTATTCGTTTTTGAGTTATCGTGCGATCGAACGGACGGACATGTTTAAATCAACGTTTAATTTTGCGCTGAGCAAGAATATATACATATTCATACTGAAGAAAACTCGTTCTCCCAAAGAAAAAGAGGAAGGTGCAAAGTATAAAAACAACAACACTTGCTAATTATTTCTGAAAAATTCTTATGTGCGAAAAAAATTAAAGAAAAAATTTTGTCAATTTGTTGACAACATCATAATGTTACATACCAGAATAAGTGGCAAATTATCTAAAGTTACAGAACTGCAAAGCATATAAATCCTTGAATGATAAGGATTATGACAAAATTGTAAAACGTGTTTTAACCATTCGTTAATTTTTAATGCATAAGAAGTGTAGGTTTTGTGTAAATTGCAAAACATGAATAAGAAACCTTCTATAAAACGAAACTAACTTAAATTTATATATTTTGTGATTTAAATGAATATTTTTTAAAATTTATAATTACTTTTTAATTACACAAAAGAAAAAAACTATTCTAAATCTAAAAGTAAATTCAATTTCATCGTATAGCAATAAAAATTTATGCAAATTTAAATTTACACATAATTATCAAATAATTATTTTTTATTTCCATTATAAATCATAAATTTCCTTTTTATATAGGAAGATTTTCACAAGATTCCCACAAATACACTCAAAATAAAAAAAAAAACCAATACAAATGGAAAAATCGATTTATTTAGCAATAAACAAATTACAATGAATATTAATTTCAAATTGAAATTTAATAAAATAAAAAATCGAAATAAAAATAATAAAAGTTCACCTTAACCTAAAATGTATTATGAAAAATCCTATAATAACAAAATTTAAATTTTAAAATATTTATACATTTAAGAAATTCGAAATAGAAACGCAAAAACAAAATAATTGTATTAAAATAAAACAAAGGTGAATAAAAAAATCGAATTAGAAAAAAATTAAGAAATTAAAGAATAAATTACAAAAATCGAGAATATTTTATATCTTTATAGTGGAAAATGTTTAATAAAATTTTCCGTCGCGGTAAAACAACAAAAGATGATGTTCCTCCATTACCAAGTTACAAAAATTCACTTAAATCAACACCAGATTATGAATATGGATCAAAAAATTACAATCTAAACAACAGACCATCTTATTCAACACAATCAAATACCTCGCTTCCAAACAAATACACTCCAATTAATGATGTGCCTCCTCCATGGTCAAATTATGATACAACAAAATATGATAGTACACCTATAAATAGAACACAAAATGTTTATACAGCGCCACCACAACGTAATTTACCATATAATCAACCACCAAATAATAATAATAATATACCAGCTGGTAGGGAACATGATAAGCCATTTCAGCAATTTTCTGTTGGAAGTCCAAATCAAACTCAATATATTCCACCACCATATAAAACAAATAATCTAACATATTCCAATCGAAACGATAAACCTGACTCAAGGTATGATACAACGTCTGGAGATCGAAGTCCATATATAACATTAGGTTCTACATATTCTCAAGGGCGTCCTCCTCCATATGAACCTTTTAAACGAGATGGATCAACTAGTCGTGCTCCTAATTCGCAACCAGGAACACCTACAGCAGGAAGAAGAGAATTATATGATGCGTATCGATCAACACCAAGCAGAACATTTGAATCACCGCAAAGAGATCCAATTGGAAATAGATCCGCCTTTCCACCATCAAATAGTAACCGATTTGGGGCAAGAGTATATGAATCACCCGCTAGAGAACATACTATTAACAAAAATAGCATTGGACCTTATAGCTACAATGCACCAAGTTATGCTTCTGATATGCCTCATCGAAATGTCACATCACCATACAATGAATATTCAAATCCACATAATCAAGAATCTTCACGTCTTAAGAACAATAGAAATGCATTTGGCCCAAATTATAATAATTCAGTGACGACTAACTATAATGATAACAATACACCAACCTATAAACCGACTTTCAATGCAAATAACATCAGTAATCCATCCCAAGCACCACCTTCTCCAGAACCTGGAAAATATGTTCCTTATGCCGTAAGAAAAGCACTAAAAGAGCAACAACAGCAACTAAAGGAACAACAAGCAAAAGAAGATTCAAAAGTTGGATATTACAACTCCAATTCAAATAACTCCAGTAATCCGGTGAAATCTAAGTCTCCTACATCAAAATATACATTTAATCCATATAAAACTTCATATGAATCATCCGATCCCTCAAACAAAATTAATTCACCATACAGTAGTTCAGAGAAACCACCATATAATGAACAAATCGGTCCAAAAATTGTACCAAGAAATTTTGAGACACCTGGCTCTCGATTAGTATCCCCACCAACACCAAATTACGGTAACAGATTTTTTGAACAAAAATCTTATAATGAACCACCCGAACTACCTCCAAAAAATATTATTCTAAAAAATAAAACAACAGATTTCAATAGAAATTTGCCTTTGAATACTCAAACATCGCAAATTTATCCTACTTCACCAAATTACGGATATTATAATGCTGATCAAAACGAAAACAAATCCCCATACATAAACTTAACAAATCAAACACCTTATTCTCCCTCCTTTCAAACACCAACCCCTTCCCAACATGAATATATAAATTTATCTGCAACCCCAAAACCATTTTCCAATTCCCAACAAAATTCAAATGTACCAATCAAAAATTCAAATTACGAATTCAACAACAACATAAATTCTAATGCGGATCGTTTTAACAACAAACAATTAAATAGTCCAACACAAAATATAAATACTACTAATTTGTTCAATACTATAAATAACACAGCTCCTGATGCATACAGCAACACTACATCACCTCATTATAACGATACATTTACAAACTATAAAACAACATTTACACCACTTTCTAATGAAAATAAACATGCTGACAATACAATATCAAACAGAAATGTTTATGAGCCACAAAAAAATCTGTATGATACACATAAAAGTTATGTGCAGATGCCACAATATAATTATGGGTCAGGAGAGCATGCTACAACTACAATACCAACTAATACAAATGCATTTGATGATTGGCTGCCAAAAAATGCTTCTAATTCAAATGAAAATTCATCGCATAGTAGTACTCGAAACGAAAGTGAACTGTGGAAACGTCGTGAAAAAGATAATGCTGGTGCTGATGAATTTTCATCAACAGCATTTGGAACGGTGCCATCTAATTTAAATGCAAACGATTATTTTAATGATAAAAAGAATTTAGAACACCGTGGTCTAAATAATGATCTCTCATTAAAAGCGGACAGTAATTTCGATCGATACTCAACACCGAAGCAATCACAAACACAAGAACAACAGGAAAAACCAATTTTTAATTATAAATTAAAACAACAAATACCTTCATCGCAACAAATATCTTCAACACCTTACTCAATTGCATCACCTTTACTTGATGCCGCAACAATATCAGTTGCTACAGTGAAATCTCCAGTTCAACCTGTAAATGATAAAGGAGACGATGAAAGTGAAAATGAGCATGTATCATCATCAGAAAAGATTAATGAAGCTACCTCTGAGGACAGATCTTCAAAGTCTCCTAAAAAATCTGTAAGGTTTTTTAATAATCCAATTGATAAAAGTCGCGATTTTATAAGTGATATAATGGCTAAAGGGCGAAATCGTGGTCATCACAACAAACATCGTAATAACAACAATAATAACAATAATAAAAAATCAAAGGATACCAAAAGCGATGTAACAAAATCGCCGTTAATTGTATCAAGTAATGCAACTACTGATTTACAAGATCTAGAAAGTTTAAATTCAAAAAATGAAAGTGAAATTTTAAATAATTTAAAAAATATAAGTGATTTAAGTGGTAACAAAAACGTTAAAAATGAAAATAGTGTAGAATCTAACACAAATAATAACACTGAAGATGATAAAATCGGTTATCAAATAACAAAATCTAAAAATAGCCGGGACATTGTACAAAAATTACAAAATTCCCGTGCAAAATTAGCATCTCCTGAAGACGATGAAAGTGATAATATTTTTGGCAAAAATGAAAGAAATTCCGCTGACAACCACAAAAATAAATGCGATGATACAGACAATACAGATACAGAAACATTAGATGAAGCTTTCGAAGATGATGACGACACAATAAAAATTTCGAATATTGCAAAGAAAATCGAAAGCACAGAAAGCTTACAAAATAAAACGTCACAAAATGACATTAAAAATTCAAAAAGCGCGTGCGAAAATAATATCAACAACACTGAAAGCTCATCGGAGAAAAAAATTTCATCTCAAAATATTCAACAACAACCACTACAAACAAACCCTGAACGAAATTCAAATTTATCGTCAGTAAATGAAAATAATTCAAATTATACTAACAGATCATCCGCGCGCGTCGGTAATTCACAACCATCAGTGTCAACAACAAGAAACACATCAAAAACAGATTCTTACGAAAACCTTAAGAAAAATTCAAATAAAAATAATAATAAGAAAAATAAAAATGATGAACAAATTGAGAAGATAGAAAAACTTTCAGAATTAGCTGAATGTGATCGTGATAATTTTATAAAGACTCAAACTACAAGTATGGGTCAAACACAAGCTAAGGCATCTACATCAACGGCGAAACCAGAATCGCCACGCCTTGGAAGATCAAGATCATCATCACCACCAAATAGAACAAGCAATAAGCCAATACAATTAAATAGTAGCGATTATGCAGAAATTTATAAATGTTCGTCACAACGTGAACGTGAACCAGTCATTGAAGAGCCATTATCACCAACAACTCCATTATCACCAACAGAATCTTGTGATCAATTTTATGATTTAACAAATGATACATCAAATATAACTAATCCAACAACACCTTTACCCAAAGTTACTGTTGCAGATTATAGTGAAGAATCACATAACTCTAATATTGAACCAGATGTATTTTATGATTTTGAAACAATCAATACAAATTATAATGGCGATAAAAATTTATCAAAATCTCCACCAAAATATCCTCCACCACCACTATCACCATCCGCCCAATTTAAATCGCGATCAACTTCTCCCATTGATATTGTTACATTAGAAGATATTGAAGAGGAAGAAGATGAAGATGATTGGCATTTTGTAAGTGATAATAAAAATGATAGCAATAATAATGAAAATACCAGCAGCAATGATAAGTCAATAGATTCTAAGCAACAACAAAATCAACAGCAGCAAAATTCCACTTCACCTAAAACACAAAATAATTATCTTAACTCACCAACATTTGGTCGTAAAATGGATACTTTAACAATATCAGCACAACAGAAACCACCATCACCAATTTTATCAAGAAAATCACCATTACGTCATAAATCACCATTTGATTATGATGATCATACAGATGGTTTAAATACACCTGATTCAGGTATAGGTGGTGCAACAACACCAATTTCGGTAACAATTACAGCAAATTCTTCAATTAATTCATCTAATAAAGTTCTTGTAATAAATAGCTGTGATTTAGTAAATGATACCGATGATATTGAATTATTACAATCACATCAAAAACAATCTACTAGCAGTAGTAATTATTTTAATATTCATAATGAAATTAATAGTAATAATATTCATAATAACGGTAACATAATTAATTTCTGTGAAACTAATAATTACATTGAACATAATACAACATCTATAGTTATCGATAGTATAAGTTTACCAGATGTTGTTATTGAATCAAAACCAAAAGAAACAGATACTCAAAATCAATTAACTGTTAATAATAATAATCAAAATGGTGATTATATTTTAAATGTTAGTAAAAGTAAAAGTGAAGGTAATGTTCATTTTATACCAATTCATGTTGAAGGACGTGAAAAACCAAAAATTGAAATTGTTGAAGAAACAACTGAATTTTCGAGTTCAATCGATAATAATAATAATAATATAAATAATATTAATGATAGTAATAATATAATAAATAACGGTTTTATTGAAGATATTAGTAATCAGAATAATAGTATTAATAATAGTGATAATTTTAATAATAATAATAATGTTGACATAATATCAGATATAAATGTAATTAAAGCTGAAGAAACTGCATCTGAAATTGAAGAAGAAACCAATGAAAATCTTAATGGAATTGGAAAATCAATTCATTCTAAGGATAATGAAGAAGATTATAAGAAATTAGAAAAGGATTTACAACGACAATTAAAGAAAGTAAATGAGGAAAAACAAAAGAAAGAGGAAGAATTAAAGTAAATACACAAAAAAAAATAAATAATATTATTTGTATGAGTGTGTTTAAAAAATAATATTCTAAAAAGTGTGTTTAATAATATTTTATAAAAATAATTTCTGTACTAACAGATAGACACTATAATAAGGCTTTAGAAAAAAAAAACACGCAATATAAAAATTCAATAAAAATTTTTATACGATTTTAATTAACAGCGGAAGCACTAAACTTACTCTCTCTCTCTCTCTATCTCTTTTTGTTAATTTAATAATTTATTTATTTAATTTTATTAAAATTCAAAATTTTTATTTTAAAATCTCGATAATAATATTATTTTCTAAATATCTTTTACAACTTATGTGAATCATAAATAATTTTTTATTTAAAACTAAAAAATTTCATAATTTTTTCTTAAAAAATTTCTTTTTTACTCATTTGTAGTTTTTTTTCATGTTTTATATTTTTTAAGATTAAAGAATAAAAATATTTGCAACCCACTTAATGTTTGCTAAAAAAATATTTTTGATTTTCTTTTTTTTTTTTTCTTTTGGTTTTTATCGAAGACACTCGCCTACGAATATGTCAAAGATTTTTGTTTTTCTCGAATTGCAGAAATTATAATGTATAAGGCAGAATTTAGACAACAAAGATTGCTTAAAGATTTTATTTGATAAGAATTATATGGGGTTGCATTTCTTTTATCAAACAAAATCAATGGGACTTTTACACCAAGCATTGAAAAAATATTAGCAATAATGTCATGTTATTTATATTCCTAAATACTTGGAATATTAAAAAGTCACACTGTTAAAGCTGTTCTCACGTATAGCAACAATTATTCGGTTGTCTCTTTTCAAAAAAAAAAAAAAACCCACGAGCTCTAGTATGTGTAAATTGAATTATAAGAAAATTTAATTTCAGTAGATTCGGCAAACCCAATTTTAATTTTGCTTTAACTTCACAAACTTTTAAACCTAAGCGGATATAAATATAATTTCGAAATAGTTTTTGAACGATATGAAGACGTTGGATTTTGCTACGAAAATAATTCACACAATTTTTTTAGCCGTACCTTTATTTATTGGGTATTTTTAATTTTCCAGAATTTCAAATTGTAAGCTTAAATTAAGACAAAGTTTGCTCTACACTGTTTAATAAAATTTATCTTAATTTTTTCTATTTGAGATCAAATAACAAATCTGATATCTGACAATAGCTATAATAAAACTCTTTGAAAACATAAAAAAAAACTAAAATTATTCTAGAATACCTTTTTGACATAACTATGACAGCTTTAACTTCCGTGATCTTTATTCAATAAATTGGCCATACTGTATTCGTTTTAATAAATTATTGTTATTTTAAATATTGTTCTACTTAAATGATTAGTAATATTTTTTAATTATTATTAAGCAATATCACAACTCCCAATACAATATTGCCCACATTTTTCATTGAAGAGGAATTAATAAGACAAAAAAAAATTCATTTGACACAAAATTCGACTTTCTATATTTAAAAAAAAAACCATTTAATTTAATTTTTGTCAATAATATAACTAATGATTTTTATTTTTGTATTATTTTTATAAATTGTTATATTAAAAATTTTATATAGTTTTTAAATTTCACAAAAATAACAAAAACAAAAAAAATTAAATGAAATATGGGTCAAATTCTTTCAAAAATGTCATTACTCTTTCAATGTTGCCTATCGAAACTATAAATATCCACCGGTATAGCGGTAATAATTGAATTTGTCTAGAGAATACAAGAAATTTTATATTGTTTTCAGAAAAACAATAATTCTTATACATACATACTTATGTGTGTTATTTAGTACTTAAATAATAAATAAAATGTTAAGTCATTGTATAACAGTTTTGTTACAATTAAATTTAATTTTGAATTGAAAACAAAAAAAAAAATTTAATTTCATTTGAAAAATTAAAATAAAAAATAAATTCACGAATATATTAAGAATATTTTTACGCTTGAATCATTGAACTAACAAGTAATATGCTTTTTTCGTGTTGCCAGCAAGTAAGATGACTTGTACGAATAATAAGAGAATGTGTGAAGCAGTTTCAAATCATTAACTTTTTAGGTTAAATTAGTTTTTATGCAAATATTGTTTTTGGCTTTATTCACGTGGCGCTACTTACTCTCTACATGCTAAAAGCCGGATAGTTATGCAAAAACTTAAAAATTACAAGTAATAATTGAAAAACAAATGCTCAACAGATTACATACACATGTTCAGATGATTATACACACTTATGAAAACACAATGAAACTCAAATTATTTATTCCTCAATAAGCTCATTGCTTAGTGAAACATGATATTCCAAAAACAGACTTATGTCAGACAAAACCAGGTGTCTATTTTGAAGACCTTTAATTGTATTAAATTATTTTGAGCTTGCTTTCTCAAATTTTTGTAGAACAACATGAAAAATCACATATTTCGCTATTTTTTATACGCACGTACATTAATATTTTAATAATGTACACAATCTCCTAAATATAGGCAATTTTTTTTAATATATATTTTTATATTGCACAGTAGTTCATTTTTAACCGACTGCATTGCATACAATAAGGGAGATTATTTGATGGGACCAAATTTTTGATGTCGAGTTTTTGATGGGAACGCACTTTTCCATAAAATGTAATTAAGGCCGGTCTGTCTATCTGTCCGTCTGTCTATCGGTCCGTGTGTCCCACGCGTGTATCTTAAGTTCAGCTGAATCGATTTTAATATTATTTTATATGTGAGTTTATTATAGCCATTGCGCGGATTGATCAATTTTTGGGATATTTAAGACCCCTGGAACTGTTCCTAAAATAGGAAGGAAATAGACAATTTACATTGCGGTCGGTTATATGCTGAACTCATCAGATGTTTTATTGCATGCTATAAATGGATATTTATCGTATGGAAACTGTGTGTGTGGAGCACAAAATTGTTTTTGAAATTGCGAAAAAGATCATTTTTCCTCTGTGTTCCAGTTAGGAAAAATTTAAGAAAATTTTTCAACATTTTGATATTTTTTGATTTTTTTAGCTACAACTTCCGTGTCAAGATTAGAATTTTCTTTAATTAAAATTTAAATTATAAATGTAAATGAAGTTTTCCAGGACTGTTTTCCAGAATATCGATGCTTTACGGCTTCGAAGTCTGAATTATGTGTAGTAAAACATATTTTAAGCGGGTGCAAACTAAACAAAAAAAACAAAATTTTGAGGTTAATTTTGGTAAACCGTTATTTTCTTGTTGTTGTTTGTTTGTATGCAAGTTAGGTTAATTTAGCTATAAGTCAGGAAACAAGTCGAAAGAGGTTTTCTGTTTCCATCCTCTTTTTAATACACATGACATTTACTTTAATATTTGTCGAAACAAACAACATTTTATATTTTATTGTGGATGTAAGGTAAAAATCGGACTCAATGTAAATAATTGTAAATTTTCTATTGTGGAACCATAAAATGACAAATCTAATTGAATTTCTAGAAATTATTCTATATCCGATCTCCAAAATTTTTTTGTGCTATGCATAAAATTACATAATCAGATTTAATGATAGCATTTTCCGATTTGTTCTGTCAAAAATTTAATATGCCTAGACATTTCATATGTCAAAAGTTGATTTCAATTTCCCCATGCACTTTTCTTGTAAATTTTAATTTTCTTATGGTGCACTTACACACATTTACATGCCCCCCTATTTCCTATATAGAATCAAAAATTTATTTAGAAAAATATTAGAAAAAAAAAAATTTTTCTTTTTCTTTCAATTTTATTAAATTTAGAGAAAAATGAAAATAAATTCTAGAAAATATTACAAATTTTTATAAAATTGAAAATTATAATAAATTGCGCAAAAATCAAATTTAAAATTTTCTATACGCAAATTAATTTTAGCATCCGTAATTTTTTTTTTTTCTGTCGCAAAATCAAATATAGCATAACAACATACTTTTATGACGTTAAAATTTGGCATCTAAATTCAGACATTGGGGGAAATTTGTAAAGAAAATTTTTTTAGTGGAATTTTTATGATTTGAAAATAAAAAAAAAATAAAATTTATAAAAATCATAAAATCTTACGAAAATAATTTCAATTGTATTCATTTTTATAAAAAAAAAAAAAATTTTGTTTTTTTTATTAAATTTTGCACTTAAAATTTTTTAATAATCTCTGCTTTTTTTTTTGGTTATTGTTTTTTTGTGATTAATTTAAATGGAATTATTTTTTGAAACAAAGGATCGGAATTTTAAAAGTGCATAATATTTGTTCAAGTTCAAGAATTGAAATTTATTATTTTGAGAGCGATCTATTTTATTTCAATTTCAGTTTTTCCAAATATTTGGAATAGTTTGGAATTTACAAAATTTTAATTAGATTTGAGAACAATAGAACAAAAGTGGTTTTTAAATTAATTACAATTAAAGATCTGAAATTTTCTTGTTTTTGAACCGTATAGTAGTAGTAGTAAGAGAGGGGGGCTCGAACCGTACACCCGCGCAAAGCCCATGCACTAAGCCAACAGAAAAAGGCCCATCGGCAACCCCCAGAAAATACCCAACAACCCCCATGCAGTTCAACACACAAGACCCCCTATCCAAACCAGCCAACCTCCCTGGCGAAGCCCAAAAGCCGCGCAAGAGACATCTCGGAGAGGTCCCGGAGGTGTGATCTCGGTAGGTCATCGCAAAAATAAGCCCCCAAGACACGCCTTCTCTTCCAAATCAGAAACGGACAGGCACAGAGGACATGCTCTACATTCTCCACCTCCGCCACATCCCCACACCCACGATTTGAACCGTATAACAATGACATATTCTCCCGAATTCTGCATATTTCAGTTGAAAAATTATCATTAAGTATTTATAATTTTCATGACTAACTTTTATACTTACTATTTTATTATTTACTAACTATTTTACTTACATGCAATGGTCAATTTTCTATTAAATTGTGTTGTCATTTTCAGCTATAAGATACCGGAGGCGTAT